CGGCAGTGCGCGCGTTAGCAATGCGTGCATTGAACGTGTGCGGTTAGGTAGTGTAGCACGCAAGCGAGTCGCCAGAGCGGCCTGCTATTGATTCGGTTATGGCGGCTGCTAATAGCGCCAATGTTTACATTGTCCTCGCAAACCGTCGTTAAATGTGGAACGGCCGAACTATTTTCAAGTGCTGGTGGAGATACTGACAGGATCTGCCTAACAAACGCATTTAATAATTCCGTTAATGTAATTTTTGATACTTTATTGGTTTTTCGAGGAAAATATCGGACCATTGCACATGTGCTAGCATTTCCCGCTCTACTAACAAGCGATCGAGGTAATAACTTCAAAATATGCGGGAGAAATTTCAGTAGAACTAGTTGTTCAGCCATATTTGGCGACTTTAGCTCTTATATATTTCTGTTCGGTACCGTGCCGAGATGCAGGAAGGATGTTGTTCAGAAAGTTGAAATAACATACGAATCTAGTAGTCTTTTTGGGATGAAAATGCACCCAATGGCTACCAGGTGAAGTGAGGTGTACTCATGGCTGCGAACTGATCTGTTTTCTTACCCCAGAGGTGACGGGTCACCCTTCAGTAAAATATGCTCTTAGACGTCAGCTATTGTCGCACAGCTTCTACCGAGGACTCCTTCGTTGGACGTCTCGGCACCAATTTTAAAAATAGTTCGTGCGTTCGGCACGTACAAGCTCATAAACACAAGTGAAATTGTAATGCTTTTTGAAACCCATTTAATCGATGTGGCCGGAATAAGCATGGTCAAAGTTAAGTCTCTTAGGTTATCGGCTGCTTATATGCATTTACCTGACCCCGGTAGGCATGGTATTGTTTAGGAAGAGCAGTATATTTTCATTATATGTGTATTATTTTGAGTCCCCTTGCGTAAGACACTCTCGCATTCCATCATTCTAGGATATAAGCAAACGAAAATGGCAGAATTTATTTGTGCTAATACATTTCTAGAGAGCTTGTCAACTGCTTCCTCTCTTTGCATGAATAACTTAACATTGGGAGAACACAGCATTATGAATTTTCCCAGAATCAATAAAGTCAAGGTCATTTTAACCCGCAGAATGGTCAATAGTAATCTCACCTCTAAACTTGGGAAAGAAAAGTAGAAAAGGGAATTAACAAGAATAAAAGGTTGATTAATTGTGGCATGCATTTACCAGGGCAGTTTGAGATTAACCACATGGTCTTACTACTTACATAGATCTGGTTTCTTCCGCCCTCTTTTCATCTCGCCCTCGATTGCTTCATATTTGTACCTAAGTTTGTTAAAAAAAATACGAGGACAACTTCCAGGATGATTAAGAAAGGGTCAAATAAAGAACATTAACCTGCCCATTCTCGCGCCTATAGTAGACTCAGCTCATCGGTTAAATTCCAGAGAGATGGATAGCCTTTGAGTTCCCTATTTTTACATGTGTGTTGTGGTGGCAGCAAAATTGTATGTCAGTTTCCTGGCGAGGCAAATTAACATGAGCCATGAGGGGGAACATACTTTAAAGAGAGTGGACAGTGAAAAACTCCTTGGGA